CCCGGGGGAGCGGAAAAAGAAAAGAAAATGAATCAAAGCAATGGACTTGCTAATTTCAGAATACATCACATCTTCGTGGGAATTGCTTCCATCACTAACCAGTTCAGCTCGGCTAGTGGGCTTTTGTGTTCGAACCTCGAATCCGGAATATTGCCTTGGATGAGTAATTAGCTACCTCTGTTGCATTTAGTGGGTAAGAAAATTATTGCTGCTCTAAGGTTAGCTAAATTTGCGAATTGCTTTAGCTTGATGCATTTCTGTTTTTGATCAATTTGTTTTGTTTGGCGAAATTAGAAAAGTACTATGTTAGTATCTTTTTTTCGGGGTTCTACAGAGAGTGAGTTGCATAACTTGGTGCATAAGATACAGGGTAGTGTAATGTGATCCATCAGCGAGTTTTTAAAGGTGTCACCTTTGCTTAGCATAGAATGCCCTAATCAACTTCCTTATTTTTATTATTTGTTTTAATGTTTTGGGGTGGAGTGAAGAGAGAGGCGGAGCCGAGATTTGGAACTTATGAGTTCAGTATTCTAATTCTTTTAAGTTACCGGGTTCTAAATTGGTAGTTTGCACATAATTCATTCTTAAGACATACAGGATTTGGGCAAAAGTTATTGGGTTCAGCCAAACCCGTATCCGAGGGCTAGCTCCGCCCCTGAGTGGGGAGAGGAAGATTGTGTGGAAAAGGCAATGGAGTTTGCTTGAATTGCGCCAACGCTTAGTAGATAAATGAATTGGCTCTTATTATAAGTTTCGAATAACGGAGTGTCCGGGCTACCTTGTTACACCTTGACTATTCCATTAAGTAACTTGCATCCTTCCATAAGTATAGGTACTATAACTTTGCCACGCTAAGCTTGATGGGAAGAAATCACATAAGCTTTTTTGCCTCAACTGAGATTCGACGTAGTCCCCTATCATCTTCATTTAACTTCATCGGCTGCTAGGTTACATCCTTGGGTGCAGATCAATGAATTCATACTTGGAATGTCATAATTAGATCTATCGATTCTACCAACTTCTAGAGTAAGCTGATAGGTGCCCTTGTATTTGAGAGCTTGAAGCAGTCTAGTGACTTGTAGTTTTAGACATTTGCTGAGAAGAAAAAGCTTTATCCATCACTGAGCCATTACTAATTCTCGACGTATTGGAATGATTTCTGCTCTGGACACTGGAGTTGTGACTTGTGAGATATGAATAGGACCATATTTACCCTTTAGGGAAACTGTACTTTGTTTAATGAGAGTTTTCCTTGACGAAACTTGAATCTCCTTCAACTGTTTACTTCATCATGTAGTCAAATCCTATTCTTGCAGAGAATAACTTTCCAGATTATATAATATTTCCCAAGAAAGTATTCCATATAGTATAACCAATTGTAGTTTCCTAGTTTAGATTAGTATATACTTCAACCCTTCCTTTTTGCCCTCCTATTAATATTATCTGCTTTATGCTTTGCTTATATTCTTTTTCGTTAATGCTAAAGCAGTGTCGTGTTCTGGCTAGAACAGCCTTGTGATGTTCCACAGCTTTTTAAGGTAGATGCAAGATAGAAGAATGGTGTATGCTGCATTTCTTATTTTCTTTATTTTCATGTTTCGGTTAAGATTAGTCAATTTGGTTATAGAGAAATTGGATGGTTAGCAAACATTGGACTGCCTTTAAAAACCAGTTCAGTATGAATTTGTGTCGAAAAATTAGACTAATTTCCAAAGGCTGATGGTGATATATATGTTCAAGATTTAGTGAAGCTGCATTTTGCTGAGTGCTCTGTGGTATTAAAAGCAGATTTCTCATTGTTGGGATTAAAGAGTCGAGCTATATTTAGACAGAGCTATGTGCTTAGTATTGAAAATGTTTTGGTTCATAATAAGTTGAGGGATTTTAGATAAAAGTGGCTTCTCTGCTGGTGTAACATCTAATTATTGCAGGAATTTCTTTGTTTCAAATACAGCTCTTTGTGGAGTGCTTCGACTTGAAGTTGCCTTTTAGATTTGGAATTTTGTCCTTTTACACAAAAAAGATCTGCCCGTCAGTTTGCCGTGGGAAGAAGATATTTGGCAACTCAAAGAGCTAGGAGAGGTGAAAATCAACAACTAAAAACGTAAAGAACGTAAAAGAGGCTTTGATTCAGTCTTAAAAGCGCAGTGTGTGATGTGTGCGTTAGGCAAACAAATATTTAAGTGGAGAAAGCTAAAGGGACAGACCAAATACCTATCAAATTTTGAACCGTGTGCCAGTTGGTCCTATAGGCATCCAACTCTAAAATTTGATATCGAACTTATCCTAACTACACAATATGAAACAATTTTTTTTGGGAGAAAATGGTATGTTGCAGTCTATTTCTGCACACCTCGTATATTAGACGAGTTTTTTAAAAGAGGACATACAAAGTTGAAACTCTTATCCATTTAACACCTGAATTTATAGGCACGATGTAAGCTCTTGTTGCACGTGATGATTTCATCCACTAATGATTTGAGATAAATAAATAGAGAATAAGTTAAAGTTCCTAGATGCTCTATAAGAATGCATCGCTATTTCTTCCCACTACTAATAAAAGCTTTAGTCTCGATTACAGGAGCAATACTTTCTCTATTTACTATCTTCACTACAGTAACCAAACGACTCATGCCTTAGCTCTAGTTGACTTTCTTAGGGACAGAAGAAACGTTGGGAGATCATTACACGATATATTAAACATATAGTGATCATTGCACCCAACGACACCCAACCTGATAAGTATAGAGCATCGGGAATTTTAGAATTACAATGGCCAATGTACAGTTCTACTAATCCCCAACAGTTGGACAGAATTAAAAGTTTATAGACGATTCTGCATGCATGCATGGCATTGATTTATAAAGAGCCATGCACCATATCGAAGTTCGTATTAACAGGTAACAGCACCTCACCTCCTGTGCATACCCACCACCTGGATCTATTTATTTGCGTAAAGATCTTTTGCCAGCTTGAACAATAGCAGCTAGTTCCCTAATTTCCAACCCGCAAATTCGAAGAAAAATTAACTTTTGGGGCCGCAATCTATCTGATGTCTACCACACAGGTAAAAAGATTTACAAGAAAGTGAAAAGGGTTTGCAATCAATGAGCCCTCTCTTCGTCATCAAAATGTAGAGCCTCAATTCCTTTGATTGTGGTTTCGTAGTTCTTTATTCCAGAAGTATTCTGGCCAGATGAAGCATATCTAGGATCGGACGATCCACCAAGTGGAGAGCTTCTATGTCCACCTGATAGTTTGTGCATGGTCCCTGGACTTACCTCAGGTGTGCGAGAATGTGTAGGGTCAGAGTCATTCCCCATTGTGAAAGTCTCACGGCTCCCGGAGACTAGACCTCGCCTCAGAGATCCACTAGATCTTCCCATAAAAGTGGAGCTTGATAGCTGCAAATATTGGTAGGATTCAGAAAACTGGGGGAAAAAAAGTTGAAGACTTGTGGTGTAGCACAAGAGTAAACTTCAATTTTGACAGCTTTGAAACCTTAAAAACACCATTTAGTATTTAGTTTTCGTTCAAGCCAAGTTAATATCGAACTACCATATTTACCCAAGGTGATAGCATCTTAGGGAAAATTTATCAGCAGTAATGGAAGACTTGTACCAAGAAACTTTCACTGTAACAGCTTCACAAGCCTTGATTGTCAGAGCATCACAAATCTCCCCCTAACGGCCTTTCAGGGCCTCTAGCATTTGAAATTTACTTTCTCTTTACGAAGGTTTTACTTATTCAATAACTCAAACTCACCATAGCATCCCTGCTCGTGGAATCATTTCCGATAGGACTCTTCTGCCTGGATAAACTTCCAGCATTTATAAGTGGCCCAGAACTTCTCCTCCGAGAAGGCTCTGCTGATTGTCTTCCTTCTTCTTCACCTGCAAAAAATGTAGGAGAGCAGATAAAAAATGAGATTCTCATAAAAATAGAGACACTTGACCAGTAGTTAAGTGTAGTTAGCAAAAGCCAGACACAAGCTGAAATAGAGACAATGTGGGAAATAACCTGACTGCCTTTCTACATTTGGAATAACTGGAGGCATGCCTGAGCTGGGTCCGGCACTAGGGCCCTAGGAAAAAAAAAAACCAACGGTTGTCAGATACAAGCACATCACACATGAAGAATGAAAAACGAGATGTTAACCACTCACAAGAGGTCGGGAAGGAGGAGCTGCAATTTGTGATTGCTGATACTTCAAAATAGTCCAATCAAACACATAGTCAAACTGAAAGCCTGCAACAGGAAACAGAATTGTAACAGAAAGCTAGTTGTATATTACCAAATAAAGCCAAAAACAGCTTCCAAAAGCTTAGTAAGACCTTCACGGATGAAGAGATCACGGAATATTCTCTTCAGATAAGCATAATCTGGCTTATCCTCGAAGCGAAGAGAACGACAATAATGGAAATATGATGCAAATTCAGTAGGATAACCACGACACAGAGCCTGCAGAAACAGAGATCAGCTGTTTAGGCTCCATAGAGAAATATTTTAAATAATACAATCACCAAATCTGTAAATAAATTACCTCAATAGATGTTGAAACCTTCTTTTCACTAATTTTCTCATACTTCTGCTTCTTAGTTCCTGCTTTCAGTCCTTGCCAAGGAAGACTGCAATAAATAGATGTCAAACACAAGCAGAACAAAAATAAGAGGATAGATTGCAGCAAAAAATCACCTTCCTCTGAGGAAGTACATAAGAACATATCCAAGAGACTCCAAATCATCCCTCCTGCTTTGTTCTACAATTACCAAAATAATACATTAAGACAATGAGTCAAAAGACAGCAGAGTTCAACCGTCAGAAGAGTGAAGAAGCAGGGCTAAATACCAGAACACTTACCGATACCAAGGTGAGTGTTCATGCTAGCATATCTTGCAGTGCCGGTCAAGTTTTTGTTCTCTCTGCAGTGCAAAATACCAGAAAATACCATATAAGCTAACAGGCATGATAGGATTCACAAATGCTGTAATGCATGTGCTTGAACATTAAAAAAAAAGAAAAAAGATCAAGGACACTCTGAATGAATAGTGCACAGCCCTCTGTTGTACTTTTTTTTCCCCTCTGTTGTACTTCAATTCTAAGCTGGAATACCCAGATATTCACACACAAGATTCTAGGACATTCTGAATAATAATGAGCTTCCCTCCGTTGTACTTACAATTTTAAGCTGGGATATCCAGATTCACACAAGGTTTTCTTTAGGAAACAGAAGGGAACAAGAAGGACTGGTATTTTTCAAGATTTTAGCACAATCATTAGCCTCCTCTCATTTCCTTTTTCTTCCAATTCCTTCCATCCAAGCATAATATTAAAGTTTTCAGTAGGAATACATGTGTTCATCAAGCAGAGCACATCATACATTTCGTATTGTATTATAGCCCATTATAGACAAAGCAGAATCTTGCATTGTCATATTAAAATCTCAAAACAACCCTAGCTGTAACTTTACATAACGCTCAACTGAAGCCAATAGATTATATCTGCTGTGGTTATTTAAAAACTATTAAACATTTTCTTTTTTCTTATGAAATAAGCAATTTGTACTTAAAAGAGAAATCCGAATAAACTTTCATATTGAGTAATGATGTCGTTTTTTTCGAGGTAAAGTATTTTGTGCTATGACGAACGTTGTAAGCACCCTGATAATTTAGGCAGAGATGGCCTGGAGCTGTTCCTATCTTTTTGCAGTCCTTTCATGTGTAATCCTTGCATCTTCTTGATGCCTTTTAATGAAATTTCTTACTTCATAAAAAAAAGTATTTTGCATTATGATGTCCTCACTGGTAGGGGCTTTAAGTTGACTACAAATCAGTTTGCTTCCAATGCTAAAGCCAAGTCAAAGCTTTTAAAATATAGGAAAAGAACAAAAGGAGCAAGAGGATATTCACTACATTATCCAATAGAGCAAAAAAGACGACGAGAAATAAAGGTGTTGTAAACACTTGTTATCCTACCAAGCAAGCAACTCATAATCAACTAACCGGTAAGGAATGTGCTGGTGAGTTGAAGTGTCTCGATACTTTTTGGCTAGACCAAAGTCAATTATGTAAACCTGCATTTTTTTGTCAAAACAAAATGGTAAGGGAAAAATATCCTACAAAATCGTGGAAATAAAAGAAAAGATATAGTAATAAGAATGTGGGACCTGATTTGCACGTCTTCCCAAGCCCATAAGAAAATTGTCTGGCTTGATATCTCGATGCAAAAATGATTTGGAATGAACAAATTCAACACGATTTATCTGCAGTAAATGCCAGAATAGCCATATAACCAACATATTTTAAGAAGGTTTACAAATGCTAAATTTCAAGATTTAAACANATAAGAATGTGGGACCTGATTTGCACGTCTTCCCAAGCCCATAAGAAAATTGTCTGGCTTGATATCTCGATGCAAAAATGATTTGGAATGAACAAATTCAACACGATTTATCTGCAGTACCAGAATAGCCATATAACCAACATATTTTAAGAAGGTTTACAAATGCTAAATTTAAAGATTTAAACGAAAGATTAACCATTTGATCTGCAAGCATTAAAACTGTCTTCAGGGAAAGCTTCCTGCTGCAAAAATTAAATAAATCTTCAAGACTGGGTCCTAGCAAATCCATGACCAGAACATTGTAATCTCCCTCCACGCCAAACCACCTCACATTTGGAATACCAGCTACAACAGAAGTACTAGAATTACAATGCTACAAACTAGACAAGAGAGCAGATATGTTTTAAAAATGAAAAAGTAAAAAAAGGACACAGGAAAAGCCATTACTTCCTCCTTGAAGAATTCTATACAACTTTGACTCATATAGCAACTGAGGATGCTTTGTCTTGACATTTTCCTGCAAAAATATTTAACATCTTGAAGCATAACAAAAGATATAGATGAATAGCCATTTATAGTGTGATAAGACATAACAAGCCAAGATCTTAAAAAGCCATAAGCAAGGAGAGCACCTTGCTTGGTCCTTAATT